GTGGATGACATTTTGGTGGCTGGGTCTGACGAGGATTGGGAGGAGTTGCTTGCTTCTTCCAACAGGAAATTCCCCACCAAAAACCTTGGAGAGTGTCAATGGTTTGATGGGTGTGCCATCGAGAGAGATGTAGATACTGGGACTCTTAGAATCTCCCAAACCGCGTATATCGACAGCATGGTTGAACGCTTTGATGTGCAATCAACTTCCCGCATCCCCACTACCCCTGGTGCCGATCTAGGGCCGAGGCGAGAGGATGAGGAGGGAGGGGGGTGACCGGTGAGGGCGGCCATCGGCAGCATCATGGGGTTGTCGACTTTATCGCGTCCAGACGTCTCGTTCGCCGTGCGTGCGGGAGCGCGCCACGCCCACGCCCCGGCGAAGCGGCACTGGGATGCCATACAGAAGATCCTCGGCTACCTGAAAGGGACGAGGGAACTCGGCATCACCTACCAACGGGGATCGGCGTTAGGGCTGGCCGTGTACGTAGACGCTAGCTACGCCGACACGGAGGATAGGCGTTCGGTGTCAGGGTTGGCGACGACGGTTGGAGGTACCGTAGTCAGCCATGGTAGCAAGACGCAGAGTATCGTGTCTTTGTCTTCAACGGAAGCCGAGTACATTGCTGCCGGGGAGGGTGTCAAGGAGGCGTTGTTTGTGCGTGCTGTGCTTTCGTTTGTCGCCCCAGAGACCAGTGGTAGCAGCATCAAGGTCCTTGAGGACAACCAGGGGGCCATAGCGTTGGTGCAGAACCCCNCATTGCTGCCGGGGAGGGCGTCAAGGAGGCGTTGTTTGTGCGTGCTGTGTTTTCGTTTGTTGCCCCAGAGAGCAGTGGTAGCAGCATCAAGGTCCTTGAGGACAACCAGGGGGCCATAGCGTTGGTGCNTAGCTACGCCGACACGGAGGATAGGCGTTCGGTGTCAGGGTTGGCGACGACGGTCGGAGGTACCGTAGTCAGCCATGGTAGCAAGACGCAGAGCATCGTGTCTTTGTCTTCGACGGAAGCCGAGTACATTGCTGCCGGGGAGGGCGTCAAGGAGGCGTTGTTTGTGCGTGCTGTGTTTTCGTTTGTTGCCCCAGAGAGCAGTGGTAGCAGCATCCAGGTCCTTGAGGACAACCAGGGGGCCATAGCGATGGTGTAGAACCCTCTCAGCTTAGGTCGCGCGAAACACATCGCTGTTCGGTTTCATTTCATCCGCGGATTGTTTAGGTCGGGGGATATTTCGGTCAAGTTTGTCCCGACAACGGAGCAACACGCGGACCTCCTCACCAAGGCCCATAGCAGGGCCAGTCTGCAGTATCACCGGCACAAGCTGATGAATTTGCCGGAGTAGCTGTAGCAGTTTCTAGCACTTGGGAGAGGCCATGTTTTCCATGCGGGGGAAGGCGCACAACTGTTGCGGTCTGTGTACCAATGGCAGGAGTAGGGGGCGTTGGGAGACCATCGTCCGGGGGAACGTAGTTCCTCGCGTTCTTGTCTTCGCCTTGGCCTTTCTATTAAGTGCGGCCGTTGTGATCCGCTGTGATAGCGACGGTTTTGTGGGGGTAGTTTTTTTTTTAGGGTTTTGCTCGGACGCCGGGTTTCCTCTCAACATATTACCATGTTGGTATTTTCTGATGTATCCAGGGGCGTTCTTGCCCAATTGATGGTTAGTCACTTGCGTCAAGAACCAGGGAGGGTGTTCGTGGGTCTGCGAACATTGGTGTTGGATACATGTGCTGGATGATTTGGTGTCACGCAGACTGGTAAGATAACTGTTTGGTAGGGGGCACCGCGATGATTCACGGGGCCCCTCTTTGCTATGGGAGCCGCTCTTTGAGCACTCCCTCTTTCGTCCGTGTGAAGGATGGTCGTCTACCTCCCGTGAAGTTAATACATCACCAAAACAGTCTCACCCGATAAATAAGTGGCGCAGGCCGCAAACAGGTTGTGCTCGTTATTTCTTGAACGGATTTCGTGACAACAACGCGCATGTCGGCTGTACCCGACGTGTCCACACACATGCCTCTCATTGTAAACCGCGTCAACCGCCGAGAGGCATTAGCCGACGCTCAGTCCTTACCACGCCCTGTTTTTTTAGAGTGTCGTTCACACGTAGCAATATTGTAAACATGCGTTCGTTTTGAAAGCAAGCATTGACTGCATGTACCGCAGGTTGCACAAGATACCATACCCCCTTGACCGACTTTCACACCTCTTTTGTTCCACGACGAAGACGATGATGCCAAAATCAAGCAATACATTTTCGGAAAGCTCTGGACTGGACAGTTCCAATGCCACCGTTTCCGGCACCGCCACGTCCTCTGCTGGGGAGTAAACAGGCTTTTGAAATCGGTCCAGGGGGCGTGATATCTTGAGCAACCGACTGCTGTGAGACAGCAGTGGATTCGATTCTCCTCTGCGCCATCGTTCTCTTCCTACCACCCTTTTCTTCCGTTTCTTGTCCTCCGGAAATTGATGTAGACTTCGGAATTGAAACATCCGTTTGTTGGCCGTAAGTACCGAGTGAGGCAGCTTCTCATGAGAACCACTTGGCACCCCTACTTTCATAAACTTGCTACCCCGTACCATCTCATGATCGGTCGGTTTGTTTTTTCGGGGATCTCTGCGCACTCGGTGACACAACAGCAATAGCAAAGCATGCGCCCGTGGCAGTACGTATGTATGGTGCCTCATGTGGGGTGGTTGTTCCGGACCGTGAGGCGCTGGGAGGCTGAGAATTGAAGTTGGTGAGAGTGCCAACTGCTGTTCGAAGAAGACACCCTGCTCGAAACACACTCGAAACACAGCTCGAACACAGCTATTGACAGTTATTTGCAACGCCACAGGTTTGGTTTCGGAGCGACCCCTCTTCACTGACCGAACCCACAGATAACACAATGCCACCCGCCCGTAGCTGCGTGTATAGTGCTTCTTGTGCTGTGGTTTCCACCGGCCGTGACGGGCTGGGAGGCTGAGCAACGAAGTTGGCGAGAGTCGACTGCTGTTCGAAAAATGACATGCCGCTAATGCTGTACATACTTCTTGCCGTGTCACCGGTCGCGTTGTAGTTATCCCTCCACCAAACAAAAGCCAGCGGCAACGACACAGTCCCTCGGATAGAGAGCGGGTTGATGGAGCTCACATCCTCGCAAGTGTAGCAGGAGGGTGATCTAGCGAGCAAGAAATTGAATACTTTGTCCATCAATTGTGTGTGTTGGGATGATGTTTGCGGGTCTGTTCTTTGCGAGTCTGAACAAGCGGTGTCTGCGTCAGCTGGCCAACATTTCGCTTTGAGAGCACCTCGCCACACGGCAACCAAATATCAAAGGCTGAGATGGCAGCACAGTGCTCCGAGGGTTGCTCGGAGCCCTCGATGGGCTCGCTACGACCAGCTTGCTGCGCAATCGATGTTTTTTTCCACGTGGCGTGCATTTCCAAACGACATAAACAAACGCGTCATCCGACCAAAACTTGTCATCATTTCCGAACGCATGGCCGCTTGAAAGGAAGTCGAAAATCTTCAGCCGGAAATAAATGTGTCATTTCTAATCCTACGGTGTATGAGTAACGTAGAATTGCCCAATTTCATAAATCATACTTTTTTTCCGGAGAAAAACGATAAATTACGAACAGCCTAAGGCTGTTTCTTATAGAGCCGGATTCTTGACCTGAAAAACCTCAAAATCCCGATATGGCCAAAATCGGGATTCTTATAGACCCGGATTCTTTAGTTTTTCGGGTCAACATTTTCCAGTTTCAGAAATCCGGTCGACTTTCACCCGGATTCTGATGCAGAATCCGGGTGAAAGCCCAACCGGATTTTCTCACCCGAAAAATTCAATTCAAACGCTGGTTACGCCGCCCGGCTCACACACACACGCACACACACAGCACAGCACAGCACAATACAGCGGCTACCGCAGATGCGTGTCGCAGTGCCGGCGCTCTTAGGGCTGCTGGGCGTCGCCCGCCTCGGCTGTGCACTTGTATTGCCCGCGGGACGTGTGGTTCACCGCCAAATGGCCGAGACAGCAACCGAAAGTGGTGGTATCGATGTGCCGGCTGCCTTCGCCACCACGGCGGTAGCTACTGCCTCCCTGCAGCAGCTGCAACGTAGCGTCGCCGTCTGGGACGTTATCATGGAAGACTTCGAAGACGATCTAGAGCTGGATACAGAGGACGATGAAGCGTCGAGGGAGGTGAAGAGGCGGCGTGTGTACGTTCGTAAAGACTACACGAAGTCGGGATGGTGGCAGGAGCTCATGGAGCTGCGAGAGACAGGCGAGACAGATCACACGACCCGGGAAGCGCGGCGTTTTCGCAACAACTTCCGCGTCCCCTACCCGTTTTTCGTGCACTTGGTGGAGCTGGTGAGGGACAGAGACTGGTTCCCAACCGGGGAGTCGGATGTCACGGGTCGCCAAGCCGTCCCTGTTGAGTTGAAGGTGAGCAAAGACGATGAAATGCTGCACTTCTCGAAAAATGGACCGCTGGCACCGGAGTGCCGGCGGCGGCACAGCATGCGTTTGAAAGGTGTACACCGATAAGGGCTGTGGCTGCGATCTGCTCTATATCCCTTGTCCGCCTCTACCCCAGTACATTGGGTGGTGCGCATGCATTCTTCGTTGTTCTGCACACTTCGTGCCTAGTCTTAAGTTCATTTAAAAGGTTGAGTCCCTCCCTTGTAGCCGGATGAAAAAAAACCTCATGTTTTGAAATGGTCCGCCGTCGCATAGAGCGCCGGCCGCACCACGGTCGGCGCTGGTTTCGAATACATAAGGTGTACAACGTAGAGGGTGGTTGCTGCTGTGCTGTACACCCCTTTTCTCCAGCATTCATCATCTACAGCGGCCGCGTGTGGTGCGCATGTATACTTCGTTCCTCTCCACACTTTCGTCTAAAGTTGGTTTAGAAGACCCGACCACAGCAGCAGTGGGAGTCCTCTCCCTTGTTGCCGGCGCTGGTCGGCAGTAGGGTGGTACAACATGTACAGCAGTCGAAAACAAAACAAAACGTTGGCAACCGCTAGGGCGAAGCCAGGGGTTGTTTTGCACGCGGGTCAGTTTACTGTCACCAGCCACCATGTGCTCACAAGCCAACAATGCAAACGTAGAGAGAAACACGCCGCGCGCAAGCCACAGCAGTGTCGTGGTCAAGCGTGTTAAACTCTCGAATGGTCAACTGCCGAGTGTGTGACAAACCAGCACAGCCCCGGGGTTGTTGTAGAGGTTGGAAAAAATCAATTGCGACCTACATGCTCCATGATAGAGGCCGGCCGATGGCGTACAGTTTTCAAAATGTTGAACGTTGAGGCAGCCACCAAGAAACAAAAAAACAAGCTAACACTCAGCGTAGCTGCTGCAGCTGCCCCTGTCGCGAGCGCAGGGGTGACTGCGGCGCGCGCGTACGCCACTCATATTTTCAATTTTCCGCAGGGGACCCGCGGCCTGAGTATATTTCCTGAGTTCAAAGCTAAGAACGCTGTTCCTCACGAAAAAGCAACGGATTTATCCGCGCGTTGTTGCTTTCCTCCGCCGCATACGCAGGTGCTGGCCTGTCTGCAGATACTCAGCAGAGGAAATGTGTTCGCAGATATCTACCACATGTCCTTCATCAGCTTTCAGACGGTGGCGTCCACCTTCCACCGCTTCTGCAAGTACTTCGCGGCGGAGCTGTACGACGAATATGTCTACCTGCCGACTGGGGAGGACCTGAGGAAAGTCATGGAGCAGTACGATCGCATAGGTTTCCCCGGAGCCGTCGGGTCCACGGACGTCACCCACATCTACTGGGGCATGTGCCCCTACAACCAAGCCCGCATTTATACGGGCAAAGAGGGGAAGCCTACCGTCGCTTTTCAAGTTACGGTGGACCATAGCGGGCGCGTTCTGGCGGTGACCCGAGGGTTTACGGGGGCGACGAACGACAAGACCATCATCCGCTACGACAAGGCGGTGACGCGCATCCGGACGGATCCTGTGTATACGGAGCAGAAGTACAAGCTGTACGCGCAGGATGGACAGCAGTTCGAGGAAAAGGGGTGCTATCTGCTGGTGGACAATGGGTACCACAAGGTGAATCTTCGACGAGGAGAGAGCCCCGAGTGTGTGTCGTGTGTGTGTGCGCGCTGTGTGTGTGTGCGTGTTGAGTGTGTGTCAATGCGTACCGCCGTCTCGTACGTGTACGTATCTAGTATCTACCATCTTTTTCCTATTTTCCTGGTAGTTGCCAGCGGCGCTTTTTGCATTTTTTTTTGTTCTTGGTAAGCGGCCGGAACAGTTTCTGCAACCTTCTGTGCGTCGCCGGGGAAAGAAAGAAACACTTGCCCAGACGGGTTCGTCTCCGGAAGTTCGATTTTTTGTGATGTTTGATTCCGCGACAGCAGTCAACTAGGCCCTCTGCGGCGCGGCGTTGGCAGATTGCGGCTTCTCTTGTAAAGAAAAATACCAACCACTTGACAACACCAATACAAGGAGAGAAAGGTCCGCGGTATTGGAGAAATCCTTGGCGTGAGAACACTATGAGGTCTTAACCGCGTGCTTAATTCTCTTCCCCTCTACCTCTGCCCGTTGCCCTCTTGCTCTCCCGCCCGCCCGCCCCCCCGCTCTTCCCCGCAAACTACCCCTTCCCTTCCGACAGTGGAGGACTCTCATTCCCCCTTCCAAGTGCCCGATCGACCGTGGCGACCTCATCTTCTCGAAGAGGCTCGAGAGCGCTCGCAAGGACGTCGAATGCTACTTCGGGATCCTCAAAGGGCGCTTTCGAATCAACAAGCTGGCCATCGGCTTTCACAAGCAGGAATACATCGACAACGTGTTCTTCACCTGCTGCATCCTCCACAACATGCTGCACAGCTTCGACAACCGGGGGGACATGAGCGAGGAGCCCAACTGGGCTGGGAGCGCCGGCCTGCACAACGCCGCGGATCGCGACCCCAACACGGACTACAGCTCGGTCGGGTCAATGGACGGTCAGCATGAGGCGGTCGAGGTGGAGACGGGCTTCGGGGCGCTGCGGTCTAAGTTGGTTACGAACTTCGTGTACCGCAGGGAAAAGAAGAGGGACATTGTGTGGCTGTCGTAGGGGAGGAAGGCGGTGCTGTTCTGGCCGTAGGTTTGACTCTAGGGTAACCATGTGCGAGCGTTGTGACGGTTATTTTTGCGGCAACAACGCGTTCGTGCACGTATATACAAGCTCACAGCCGGGAGATTGGTGGGGGTGGCGGGCAGCCAATTTCAGCAACACGTAGCATCGGCTGTGTGTACGGGCGCGGACTTTTTTTCGAAGTTTCACCAGAACACATAACTGAAACGTAGCGATACGCAGGGATTCACAGTTTCGAAGTAGGGATTCACAGTTTCGAAGTTTCATCAGAACAAAACACTGAAACGTGGCGATACGCAGGGATTCACAGTTTCGAAGTTTCATCAGAACCAAATACTGAAACGTAGCGATACGCAGGGATTCGCAGCCTGTGTCATGTGTACGTTGTCATCGGCGTGTACACGAAGCGGCCGCTCTTTCGAGTCCAAACCTGGACTTCGGGGTGGGGGTGGGGGGTGGGGGGTGGTGGGGGTGCATGAAGGGTCACGACCTGTCAATACGCGGCTCTGGTTAGTATGATGAGTATGTCGGGTGTGTTCGAAGTTTCATCAAAGCAATTTTAAACTGAAACTTCCGGTGCGCAGGGGCGTGATTGGATACATCTTTTTTCGCGTCTTTAAACACGAAGTTTGCTGTGTCGGTGTATGAGGTTTCAACTTAGCAAGGACCGAAGAAACGTCATGTGTGGGACCTCGGGGGCGAGCACCACGAACCGTTCTACTCTCTAATCTCTCTACATCACGAATAAACCTAGCGTTCACAGGCATCCACGCCCAGTCTGAAGGCGTGAAAGACGCACGTTGAGATCCCTCATTAGACGTGCTCAAATTTGGGATCCGTGTAGGCGCTACATACGTGCGCATCTCGGCCTCGCGCCGGCACAACAATGAAGCCGGAAAAAAATAAAAAAGTGTTTCAAGAAAATATCTGAATCTACAAACCATCCCGGAGAAAAAAAGTAGACCCCACCCAAACGGTGAGGCACCTACAATTGACCGCGTATCCGGACTAGCCAGCTTACCATAAGGAGCTCGGAAAGCCACACAAGAACACATTTGCATAGTCGTGCGCCCTCAAGCTTGACTCCCGAAGTCGAACATAAACTCTGCGCACGAACAACTTCAAAAGGAATGATTGTGAGAGCTAACTTGGCTCCGGCCAAATAAAGTTACATGTCCTACACGGCCGACGACGGACGGGTGATCCCTCCAAGCGCCAACTGAAACACACGACGAAAAAAACATCGAATCAGATACGCCCGCCAGGGATGTTTCCCCGCACGACAAAGCGGGCTTCTCGCGCTAAATTTTCTAAACAAGTTGTCACCGTAGACCTCCCCGCGGAGAAAGCCTAACCCTGGGGATGCTGTGCCGTAGCCCCACCACCTTCAGGCCCCGGTGTCTCGCTGTTGAGCGAGAAGCCCGGCAAGGCGGGTACGTCCGAGGTAACCTCTGGAGCGGAGGGACCCGCTAGGTCGTCGATGCCGCCTGAGACGAAATCAGCGGTGAACTGGCCGACGGGCATCTTGCGCATAGCCCGAATCTTCAGCTTGATGGCCTTAGCTTCGTGGCTTTCGCAGTATTGTAGATCGCCCTCAAGGTCTTCGATGGCCTGCTTCTTACGCTTGCGGCAGGCCTCCTCTTCCTGCAGCGCGCGCTGAGCGGTAGTGTTGTCGGCTACTCGCTTCACCGCATCGCGCATCTCCTTCGCCACTTCCAGTTGCTCCGTGTTCTGCCGCAGAAACTGAGCCCTCGCTGCATCACGGGACTGCCGCAGCTCTACCTCCTGTGTAGCCTTCTTCACCTTTGCTCGGCTCTGCGCTTCCCCGGCCCCCACAAACTGCCTCACAGCGCCTGCGTGCAACGGATTCTCCGTCAAGGATCCCTCGCCGGAGGATCCCTCGCCGCTGCCCCCACCTTCGCTGGCGGGACCTTTGGCCTTGCCCTTGCCCCCCTTCCTTTTCTTGCCGCGAGACGGAGGCCCGGAGCTCGCTGCGCACGTGTTGAGCTCCGTGTCTTCGTGTTCACCAGCCGGCCTCCCGAAAAAGCAGAACGTTAGGGTGAGCGGGTGCGTCCAGTTCGCGGGCCTCGGCCCGTATCCCAAGTTGCCGTCCCCACTTGAGCTGACCGCGTCATCGGAAGCGGCTTGTTTCGCGTTGATGGCCCCCTGTCGGGCGAGCCATCGCGGGTAGTCCGGCGAACCTTCCTCTGGCTCGGGCCCCAAAGAATCGTCGCTCCCCGTCCCCGCCTCTCCACCGCTCCCCGCCTCCACCGCACCACTCCCCGCCCCCACCGCACCACCGCCTCCCGCCTCTGATGAACCATCCTTCGTGTCCTCCACTTCCGCGGGCGACGTCTCCCCCGGTGCAGGCTCGCCGGCGGCACCCTCCTGCGTGCCGTCGGCGCCCTCTCCCTCCAAGCCTCCTCCGCAAGGTAGCTCCGGCTCTCCGTCCTCCTCCTTGACGGTAGCAGGGCTTGATTGCGAGGAGCGGGCCGGCAGGTAATCGCGCTCTTCGTCGAGGTCGACAACATCTTTAGGTTTCCCTAAATTCTTGCAGCGGACGATCCACAACTCGTCTAAGAGTGCAGAGAGCTGGTCGTTGTACTGCTGCCCGGACTTGAGCTGTCCCGCTGGTTGTCCAGGTTCGAGCCTAATTTCCAAGGGGTGCAAGAATGGTGCGCACGAGAAGAGAAGGAAAAGGAATGTGCGGATTACGGGGGAGACGTCACGGGGCAAGCAAGCACTTGTTCGGCATCACGCAAGAAGTCCCACGCTCTCCATGTCGAAGAAAAACATGCGGTCACTTTTGCGGGCAAGGTTCGCGTCTCTGTCTGCTTCACGTGACATTGGGCGTGAACAGCGCCGTACTGCTGTATGCGTGGTGCACCGCTTAACACCTGGGAGAAATAACACGCGGGCAAACAATTACCAGTACAGGGTACGTATGGCGCATTCAATCCCCAACGATAAAATAATTTTAAAACACAAACTTTGCTCCTGAAAAATACGTGATTCGTGGGGCCTTCGCACTATCTTAAAACTCACCCATCGAAAGCTGGGTTCACATCACGCCTGATGAGCAGGTAGTCCTCCATGTGCCTAGCCCACACCTTGGAGTCGTCCTTGTAGTACTTCGGCTCGCCTGCACACCGGGTTGGGGGCGAGGGGAGGAAACTTCGTGTGTGAGACTCGAGTTTCCAGCTGTTTACGGGATAAAATGCGCCGTCTGAACACAACAACAGCAGTGCCATGCTTTACCATCTCGACCCGCTGCTGTTTAGATTTCAAACGAGTACGTTCATGCGCGTTCTTTCTTTATCTTTGGTGCTGCGCGGGGAGATTATCACAAAACACATCCAGGCTAAGGTTAACCCCAACAGGCGCTGCACACTGCTGTTGCAGCACATGCGTAACGTTCAACCGATCAGCAGAGACAACAGACACGTGCACGAAAGAGACATGTACCGGGTTCACGATGAAAGAGAGAGGAGCGAGCGTGTGACGTTCAACCGAACAGCAGGTACAACAGACACGTGCACGAAAGCGACATGTACCGGGTTCAAGATGAAAGAGAGAGGAGCGAGCGCGCGGTGTGGGGGGTGACAAGCCTTGCGTCCTTTTTCCTTCGACCCACATTAACGGAGCATGGACCCAGGCTGCTGTAGTAGTACCATGGCTTACCTCTTCCCCTCCCGTTCACGTTGCTGCAGCCCAACAGCTCCTCTGTCAACCACCGAGGCAGCTGTACAGGAGAGCCTTCGAGCTCCCGCAGCCAAGCCAAAAAACCGGGAACCACGATTGTCTTGTAAGCGTGGGTCGCAGCTTTCTGTTTACTCTTCTTGTTTGTCAAGCCAGCGTTCCGCTTCACTCCCTGGCAAGCGTAGGTGGCGCAAACGCTCTGCAGCTGCAACATTATCTGCTTCTTCGTCATGCCGCCCTCGATGCAGTCGCCAAAGTGTGCGACAGCGGCCTTCGCCAATGGGTTGTAATTCAGCAAGAGCGCCTCAGGCTGCTCAGATGCACCTCCATCGGGCATGTTGTGCAATGGTTGTGTGGTCTGCCGCGTGAGGTCTGCTGCTGTGCGCGTGTATGTCGTGCTGGCACTTTTTACCCGCGCGTGCGCGCGCGCTGCATTTCAAAAATACATGACAGTCCAGCAAAAAATCCGCTGACTAAAATCCGGTTCCTGTAAGAAGGGTCGTACGTTTTTCCCAGCCGGATTATTGTCCGGCCGAAAAAATCGATTTTTCAGATCAAGAATCCGGTTCTGTAAGAAACAGCCTAAGCCCCTGAAAAACAAGGCGTGTTAGAGATCGGAACGTTTAGTCTCCATTCTTATCTCAAGACAGCAACAACCACATGAGAATTGGCGGTCATAGTGGGTGTCCCCACTTGTGGCGAAGGGGCCAACATCAAAAAGCAAATGGTACAGACATTTTAACACATTCCCGTTGACCATTGCGTTTTCCTGAACGGGTAAAAGTCTTTCAGTGATTGTATGCATAACTGGTATATAGCTTTCTAGGAACTGGCCAGCCGGACGGAAGAATGGATGAACATATCTTCCGCTACGCGCAGCACTTCATTTCACGCCACTCGACCGAATGAAGCCGCGCGACCGACGAGAAATGGAGAGGGCACCAGTAATGTGCATCGCAGAGCGGAGGGGAATGCATGTGCGTCGTTCACACGTTGCGTCTTACACACTTTTTGTTCCCCCCCCCCCTTGTATCATACTAGGTGGAGACGGCCATGAGCGGGTTCGGTACCGTCATGTTCTCGAATGTTCTAGGGCCAGCCAAGCATGGCATTTCCCGTGTCGGAGGGCGAGACCATGCAGAGCGTGAGTTTCGTCCGGGTCGACTGACGCAAGCGCACCGCCACATAGTCCAGGTACGGTGGTTATTATGGGAACTCCTTGCGGTAAATGCGAGATATGTTTCACAAGTGGTGCCCTGTGATTTGAAAACAAAGTGCATCATGGTAAGTTCATGTCGCAACCCCGCTACACCTCTGTCCACCCGGAACAGATTGAGGTCTGCTATTGTACCTGCTGTCCGAGTCGAACACAACATCGCCGATCACTCCTGCATAGGTCCGCTAGCGTTTTCAGGACATCCGCTCTTATTTGAGTGTAGACGGAAGAAACGACCATTTCCTTCTTTCGAAAGCTGTTCATTCGTTCGTTCATGAGTTAACCGAAGCGTATGCATAACGGGAAGGAACAGGGGACGTGCAGGCAACAATACTCGTGATTCATTGCTTGTGGAAGGGGTAAGAGACTTTTTGACGCACACGCAACATTACTTCTGTTGGTTTGAGGGGCTCGCATGCTGTAGCGTTAGCCTGTCGTGCAGGACAGAGGTGCAGCCCACGGTGAGCGATAGTGTGCATTTACCCAACATGTCATGGTGCCACGCAACAGGACCGGGGACAATGAGTGTTTGTACTTACAATCTTCCGTGTTCATGATGCTTGAATTTTGGAATCGCCACGTGCGTTTCGAAAACGAGGATAACTACTGCAGTCCATCTTCGCCCTGCTGCCTGCTGTTTTCAGCGATAATTTCACACTATCTGCTGTCAACCTTGCTCTGGTGCATCCATCAATCCAGCCCCTTACCCGCTAAACACCACCTCGCCCCCTTCACGGCACGCATTGATCTCTTTCTAAGATACTCGAGCAGTGCGTTCTCGCGGATGTCATCAAGACGAGGATGTGCACTCCAGGCCACACTTCGCCAACAAGCGTGACCCCGACCACGACGGTATACCGTACCTTCCCGGTGTGCCACGCTTTTTTCGAAAAGGCGTTGCTGGGAAGTATGGCGGCGGCGACCAAACGTTGGACGTCATCCGCGACATGTACGTTGCCGTTGTGTCGATATGTGAACTACTGTAAGCTCTGTGAGGGTTGCCCTTCGTTGTATTTAGCTTACTCGTCTAACCCTGTCTCCCGTGGCATACTGTCGACAGTTTGTCAGGCTGATAAGCGCTCGTTGGACGTGCAAGGTATCTGAAAGTCCATCACTCTCATTTGTATTGTTCCTGGCGCGGAACCAGCTTTTTGATTCATTTTACCGCGGTTTCAGTGCGCCCTGGCGTTGCTCCGAGTCGACGCGAACGTGGTTTGGCTCAAGCTACTACCGAGATGAACCCCGCGGCCTCAGACAAACTGACATTAGAATTCTTTGTTTCATGTCTCAGGTTGTAGGAGAGCTTCATGCAGATCGGCTTAGAATGCGCATGGGCGATCCCCTCCGCCGAGAGTACTGATCAGCAGGACGACGTTAAGCGCCACCTCAAGCCGTGCTTATTCGAGGACGAGGGTCTGGAGGTGGCGAAGGTGAACCCGGGGTGGATAATGATGGGGGCGGAGGGGAAGCTAAAGATGGAGACGGGGATCGCTCTTCATCTCCAACCTAGATAGATAGGCGATGGTCCTGACGAGGACGCTGGCCCCAAAGCCTTGGCGGGCGCCTCAACCGTGTTGACAAGGTATGCTCTGTGCCTTCCAATAATCGTGCCTCTCTTCCTCTTTCTCTGCCTGACATGATGTTGGATGCTTGCGTCTTTCTTGTCGTGCACCCGGTATGCCCACGGCTCCCTTCGACATACTCTTCCCCATCCCAGCGTGTCCGTTAGCCACTCCTGATGTTTGAATTTAGGGCAACTGACAAAATGGTGTAGACCCCGCGTGTTTAGGCAAAAAATGGGGTATCCTTATTTTCGGTGTGGGGCGCAACGTCTGACGCGGGGTAGCCGCCTTGGAACCGCCTTCTAGCGCTTCAGCCCCATGCGCCAGGTCCTCAGGATGCCCAGCTTTCTGTTTTTCACTGACAGGAACAGGGTTAACTGGGGCCTGGAAAAGGGGTGCTTGGTGGAGGACCCCATTTTGTTCACGAAACCGCGGGGTACACCCCCCTGTCTGCTGAAAGATTATCTAGTACCCCGTTCTTTTTACAAACATATCCGATAATGTTCAAGGCACACCCCTTGTTCTCCAGTGGTGACACTCATGCGGACTGCCAAAATGTCAACCAACAACCAACAGCATACCACCATCCTTATAGGTGTGGTTGGTGTTTGGTGGTCTGCGGTGCAACACGTAGGCTTGTCCACTAAACCGCGGGGTACACCCCCCTGTCTGCTATAAGTTATCTAGTACCCCGTTCTGTGTACAAACATATATATCTGATAATGTCCATGGCACACCCCTTGTTCTCCAGTGGTGACACTCCTGCGGACTGCCAAATATCAACCAACAGCCAACAGCATACCACCACACATATAGGTGTGGTTGGCGTATGGTGGTCTGCGGCGCAGCAAGGAGACAGAAAATACAGAGATGTGGTGCGGTCTGCGGTTGATTGTTGGTTGCCATTTTGGCAGTCCGCGGGAGGGTCACCACTCAAGAAAAAGGGGTATGCCTTCAACATTATCGGATATGTTTGTGAACAGAATGGGTACAAGGCGAAAGATTGTCTGACGAAGTAAAGGAAATCTGCGTTTTGTGAGAAGCGGCAGAAATAAACCTTGGCCAATCAGAAAGCATTAAGCGGACGAGCGTGTTGGTGTTCTGTTTTCAGTCTACTCGCTTCGCCGTGTTTACCGGGGGCGAGCGAGAGCACGTGTGCGTGTGGTGGCCAAGGGTTGTTTTCTGCTGTGACGTTTCTTTTTGGCACGTGACGTTTCGTGGCGTGACGTATTGGACGGGAGAAGTTTCGCGTCTACGTTTCCCCTGTTTTCGGGGCGACATGGATTCGCATCCAAATCTCGGAAAAGGGCCTGCCGACGGTATCCGTTCGTCGGTGGATGCCTCGATCACCGACGGCGGCGGCAGCAGCGGTGGTGGCGGTGTCCCTCCCTCCGCCACTGTGGCGGGCGCGGCTGCCGCAATGGCATTGGCAGCCCAGGACCAGCAGAACCCGCCGCCGCAGCAACAGCAGCCGCCGCAGCAGCAGCCGCAACAGCAGCGGCAGCAGCAGCAACTTCAACGTCAGCAGCAAGAAGCGGCAGCTGGGGCCGCAGCCGCGGCGGGGTCGGCGGTCGGCGGGGACGAGGCACGGCTGGCCGACGGCATGGCTGGTTTATCCGTGGAGGGCCTCG